CCAAAAGCACAACCGGATTTCGATATACGATTTCATTGAGTGTTGTTGTTGTTGCTGTTGTTGTTGTTGTTGTTGTTGTCTGCTCTGTTTTTGTTTGAGCTTCTGTTGTTGTTGTTGTTGCCTGGCACACGCTTTCATTTTATTTGCTTTTTGACTTGTGCACTGTAGTTGTAGTTGTAGTTGTAGTTGTAGTTGTAGTTGTAGTTGTAGTTGTAGTTGTAGTTGTAGTTGTAGTTGTTGTCGCTTGGCTGAGTTTTGGCAGTCACTGCACCGTGCATTCAAACTGTAGTGAGAGCCGAGCAACAACAACGCGATTATTCAACAGGCGAAAGGCAAAAAAGAGAAGAGAAAAAATGATTAACCACCAAGCAGCAAGCCGAACAAATAAACAATTACAACGACACAGAGTTCATGTCAAATAAATAAACAAAATAAATCGCGAAAAACTACAATTGCAGGCACGCAAGTAACCTTGGTTTTGATACCCTTGCGGAAGGTATTATAATTTTGTCACGCAATTGAAGACAGCGCTGACCCCATGAACAAATAACCTTGATCCCAGCTGATATGTCCGTCCGACTGTCTTTAACAGATCTAAAAATAAAATACAATTTATAAGCTAACAAACCAAGAAAGGCAATCTCTATATATATGTATACACGCAAGGGTATTTAATCTTCGTCATTCGAAGAAGCGTTTGTCTACTTTGCCCGTGGACGTCAACGCCATGTGTATGTGTGTGCGTATCTGCATATACAAATGCACACAGACATGAGTACAGTGTACACACACACACACACATTTGCACAGCACACATTTAAACGTTATTCGTGTGCTGTATTTACATTTATTTATTTAATTGTTCTGCAAATCATTATTTCTTTTTTATTAATTTTGATTGTTCTTATATTAGTTAAATATCACACATTGCGCATGTTATTAATAATAACACAGCATTGGATTTTAAAATAATTGTTTGTGGTTTGAATTAAACTCTACGAATAGTGAAAGATGCCACACTAGGCGATACCCTGTACTCAACTCCGAGCTGCCGTTTCATATATTCTAAAGAATTCTTGAACTACTTTAATTTAGTATTACAATTTTAATATTTATTTTAAAATGCAAGAGCTTTACATAATTTATCTGTTTTAGTTTCAGTAAAACTTTTGTTTTTGTCATATTATTTCATGACGAATAATTCATGAATGCATGCAAATTATAAGAACATATTTATTATCTAACCAAAAAATTGCATTTACTATGTAGAAAGCTAAGCAAAATATTGATATACTTAATTTTGGCTTACTTTAAACTTCATTTTTTAACCAAAGTTCGCTTTATTAATTGCAATTTCTCGCAGCGTAGATGCCAACTATTTTGAACAACTTTATCTATGGCATAAGAAAGATTCTTCGTATTAAAGTGCTTCTTTTTTTATTATTGATATTGATAAATTTGTCTTTGTCTTTGTGTTTCTCTCTCTCTCTCTCTTTCTTATCTAATACGTGTTTCTTATCGTTGAAAGCATTTAGCTCTCATCTTCATACAAGAATTAAAAACTATTTTTCTGAGTCCAACTGAAGTTGTCGATTATTTGTGCAGCCGCCAAAACACACTTCTAGGCTTATCCATTTTCATTGAATACAGGGTATATCAAAATGTATATAATCAAAGTTTCTCCCATTTCGATTACTGCTTGGGGCATTTGGCTTAACGGATTGGGTTAAGCACCGAAGTTTCTTGAAAAGAAATTAATTTTTAAGTGACTGTTCAAATTTTTTCTTAGACTCTGAAGAGTTGTTAATGTTACTTTTTGTGCGATTCGGTCTCTGGATATCATTTAATATGGCACATATGCCGCTGTACAAATTCCAGAGTACATAAAGCACATACATTTGTGTATGTATGTGTATGTGTGTATGTCGATATTGTATTACACTTAATATTGTATTTAAGGCATCGTGTTAATATCCGCCGTAAATTTACATTCACTTTTGAAGCAAATGTGACTTGCAGCACTCTTAATTTGGCTCTGAACTCGTTTGTACAGCAAAAAAAAAAAGATAAACAAACGACAAAGTTGAACAAAACTTCGTTATTCGAGAGAGAGGGTATACACATGTGCCTTAAATATGAGATAGGAAGCTATATTTAGGATTTTTGAGGATATTTGCTGAGTCAGTCACTCGCCAGAGAATCAATAATTTGCATTTTGACTAAACATATTTCTTAAAATATTCTTTACAGAAAGTTCCGGTGTGCCTCAAACAGTTTATAAGGGTAATCACAAAAAATATACAAAAGAATGCCTAATCATTTTCGACAAGGAAACGGGTGCTATCACGTTAGAAAGGCTAAACCACAATATACAAGTGAAGAAGACAAGGTCAGTGGTAGTTGAACAACACTTGATGGCATTTGCACGCTGCCCAACACTAACACAATATTACACACAACTTACAGAAGCGAAGTGACAAACAAGCCAAGCTTGATGTCTGCTACAAATGCACCCATGTCTAGCGCTAATGGTGCTCCCGTTTCGTCCTCGGCGGCAGCTGGAACAGGATCTGCGGGAAAATTGGAAAACAGCACCATGCGCATTTCATCCAAAACGAAAGTGTCCACGGGCAGTCGCCGGAACAACATAAGTAAGTAAACTATCTAAAGCGTCTGATTACAGCAGCTAATCATTTATCGAATGGTCTTTCAGTTGATTTTAAGCCACGTAATTCGCCCATGCAGCAGAGCTCACCATCACGTCCAGTGGCCTCGCACAGGAGTCCGCAATCAGCGCCGGCGTAGGTTTTCCATTTTCTAACCCTGGTGTATAGATCTATATTGTTTTTTTCTATTTTATCTAGTTGGCATGCCAACAATGCCCAACAGACATTGCCTAGCATCCCTATGATAATGGACGACGATGACTTTGGCCTCAGTGCTGCCTTACACAATGGCAATCAAGCGAATATCTCGGGCTCTTCCACAGGCTCCTCAGCCGGCCAGCCGGACTATGCGTCAGCGCACACAGGAAAGCAAAGGCAGGCGACGCCGCAAGGTCACGCCAAACGTCAGCAACTGATTCAACGCTCCAGTCCTCCCATGCAGCAGCATCAGCAGCAGTATCAAAATTATGGCCGAGGCAGCAACAACTACGCACAGCAACAACAGCAGCAGCAGCAGCAGCTTCAGCAACGCGCATCCTTTAGCCATAGCAATCATAGCAACAGCATGCCCATGGATATGGATTCGCCCACACATAATGAGCAAACCGCACAGTCTATGGCGCAGGCGGCCGCCGCGCTGGAACAGGTTTGTCCCCTCAATTATTGTAAACGAACATTTCTAATCTTATGATTTAATTTGCAGCAAATTGGTGGCGAACTGAGCGCATCCAGCTCAAGTTCGGAGTCTGATTCCAGCGACAGCGATAGTGGTAGTGATTCTGATGATAGCACCGAGGATGATCGTCCCAATCATCATCCAAATCAGCAGCTGCCGCCAGCGCAGCAAACACAACATCATCATATGCAGCATCAGCAGCAACAACACATGCATCAACTGCCCAATCTGGAACTTGGTTCTGTATCGCCGGCCTACAACAGTCATCATCATCATCAGCAGCAGCAACAGTCGCTACAGCAGTCGCATCATCATCAACATCAGCAGCAGCAGCAGCAGCAGCAACATCAGCAGTCCGGCATTTATGCATCAAACGGTGGCTTTCCCAATGACTTGCTACAAAACGATCTGCAATTGTCATCAAATTCTTCCGATGATGATGACGATTAGCCGTTTTTAATTGTAAACCATTTAGTTGTAATCTATATGCCTTCTTTTGAGTACTTTAAAACCAATCAAGAAACGACCATACAGAAATAGCATACAACAAAAGGAAGAAAACTATAGCAAAAACACTATTAATTATTGATATTCATTCTCTCCGCGTTTTTAAGTTGAAATTATTGAATGGTGAATTTAATTGCTAGTGAAATTTTTATAAATAAATTCTTAGTTCTATGATTACGCATACCTACATATAATATACTAAATAATTTTTAACATAATTTGTACAATTTCCAAATGTGCTGGAGAACATTGAATGCAAAAAAGAAATGAGAAGAAAGTAACGAAACACGAAACACAATTGTAATTGTAATGCTAAACGTACGTTTGCCAATAATTCAATGTACATTAATTTTAAAATTAAATCAAAGGTTATGTGAAATTTGTTGGCAGTCCTGAAGAGTGCGCGCAATGTTTATAGATTTACAAACAAACAGACGACAACAAAAATTATTTAGTTTCTAATAGAACCACATAAATATATAAATATATATACAAACACACACACACACACACACATATTATATATATATACACGTGTAATTGTTAAGTGAGAAGAACGATAACAAAAAATGACCACAGCGGATTTTTGCCATTAATTACGCATTTTAGTCTAAGCGATTTTCAGCTAACATTTAGATATAAAAAACTTTTTGACAAACAAACAAAACACCAAAAGAGACGGACAACAAAAATATATATACTTATATAAAAAAGAAACAAAAAAAAAAAAACAAAAAAACATGAAAAAACAACGCATGCTTATAAAAATTGTACATTCGTTTATGATTTGTATTTTATTTTTGTTCTTTGCTTCGCTCGTTTTAGTCAAGTTAATTTAATATATGCGATTTCTTTTGTCATTGTTACGCAATAAAAAATTGTATGTTTAATTTTCAGTAATGTTGTTAGCCGATATTACAAGTATTTAATATTTAATTGCTAGCGCCTTCTTATTAGTTCACGTTAACTATTGTGCGGTATGAAGACATCTATGTTCTTAGCTCATGTTTTATTTGAATTTATTTGTAATTTTTTAATTAATTTGTAATAACTATTATTATGATTTTTGTTATGTGCTTGCAATAATTTAAAGCAAAGAAACGATGTGGAAAAATAAATATGCATTGAAAGAACGATCATCTTACTTATTGTTTCATGTTCCCAACCTATGTACATTATACTGCAGATTTATTAAGCAGCAGCCACTTTATGAATGCAATGTTTTTTAGAATTTTGTGGTGCAATAATACTCATAATTCGACTCCTTCCAATAGAGAAATGCACTAAAAAAAAACACAATCAAGTCCACATACAAGTTTTTGTTAGGATTTATACTTAATAATAGCATTTAATTTGCCAATCACGAAATATTGAAATGCATTTGTAAAAAACCATCCAGAAGAAAAACGACCAACAGCCGAAACGTCTACACGAAGAGAATAATACAATTTATTTTTTTAAAACGAAAATATAAAATATAATGTGTAATGTATGTAAAGTATGTTGATTGATTTCCAATCCATAGATATTTCATTTGGAAATTATTTTTATGACACCAAAAACTGAACGACAACAAAACGATTCTGATAATCATAAGCACAAGCCTAGAACTAATTATAATTACTTATATACACGAGAGGGAAATACTATTACAATGAAAATCAAGCAAGTAGTTTAATTGATAAGCAAATGTACGCTATATATACTTATTATAACTATATACACACACATATATCCATACCGTATACACACAAACCATGCGATTATGATAACGATACAGATACCGAACTACTCGGAGCAGAGTATCAGTTGACTTAGTTTTAGAGAAGCAACAACAAATCAATACAATGACAAAAGCAACGTTATGTAAATAGTTAAGAGCAGAAACCATTCACACAGAGAACATGCCCTTGAAAATGCCTTTACCATGTAAATAGATGAGGATTCGGAAGTGAGTTACGCAGCTTGGATGCCGATTACAATTAAATAAAGTGAACGAATTATATCATATAATTGACGCTGGTTAACTTGTATTGATATGTTAGATTTTTTTTTTGGTACGCTTCTCAAAGGCATTCTCATCTGAGAGCTTCTGGACGGCAGTTGAGGCCCGTGCTTGCGGCTTTAGGATTACAAATCGACAAACTAACGAGTTGTCCACAGTCAAGACCGCGCCAGCGTTGTCGAACGTATTGCAATAATTGGGCGCCGAGAAGACAGTGACCAGTTTGCGTCCGGCAAAGAACTCGTAACCATCCTCGACCACCTGATGGGCTCGCACTATCAAGTTGAAGCCGTGCGATGTCAGAAATGAGTCAACGATGCTGGAGCCAAAGGTGACGCTTACTCCGCGATCGTTTACTCCCCAGCTTTTGGTGTTTTTATCGGGATCCGACCAGAGAAGGTCGCACAACAAGCCAGACCCCGGTACTTCAGTTGGTCGAGGCAGCGCGCGTATGGCCTCCAGATCCTCGAGTTCCGGACTGAGTCCGCCGTGACAGCAAAACAGCTTGTTCTCCACAATAGCCGCCACTGGCATGCAGTTGTAACAGTCGACAAAGGTGCGCCATAGCTTAATGCTGTAGCGTCGCTTGCACTCATCAAAGAAGCCGTACATACGATTCACGTCCGAGGACTCGTGATTGCCGCGCAGCAGAAAAAATGTATACGGATATTGCAGTTTGTAGGCGAGCAGCAATGTCAGGGTCTCTATTGATTGGTGACCACGATCTACATAGTCGCCAAGGAAGAGATAATTAGCAAGGGGTGGAAAGCCGCAGTTTTTGAATATGCGTAATAAATCTTCATACTGTCCGTGTATGTCGCCGCAAATATTTATGGGCGCATTCAGCTCCAATAGCATTGGTTGATTCAGAAATAGGCCTTGAGCTGCCATACACAAGCTTGTTAGGGTGCTCTCGGAGAACGTAACGCCGGACAGGGGTGATTTGTTGGTCGACAACTTCTCTATGATATCCCTTATATCTAACGAGCTTAATTTGGTACTCCTTGGCCAGCTCGTATTAGTATAAGACATATTTCTTTTTCACTACTTGAATTTGGTTTTGAAACGGTTTGTTGTTAAAGCTTGTCTAAAAACGTTTCTCAACACTAGTTGTGGTGCATTTAATCAAAAACAGTCGAGCACACACTGCCTATCGATGTATATAATGTGTTATCGATGAAATAAAAAAAGCTCGCCGCTTGCTTTGTGTGGCAGAATATTGTTGATATTTGTGTTTATAAAACCTTGCAAATTACTTCCAGCTGCCAAGCAGGTTAATTGTGAGCTGGACGCCATTAATTACATTTAAATTATAAATCAAGATAACATATGTAGGGTATCGTTGAATTTAAATTTAACGGCACTGATACACGATAAATTCGAAATTAACAGCTTGTTATTCAACACAGATATTTGATCAAATTGAAAAAGAAAGTTTTATCCAGATGTGTAGACTGAAAAAATGTGCAAGCCCTTAAATATTCTAGAAATATACGCTGCGACCAGCTGATCGAACAGCTGTTCAATGGAAAACAGCTGAGCGCAACTTTGCCAAGCAACGCGTGTTTTTTGCAATAAATTGAACTTTTGGCAATCCGACAGGTATCAACCGGTAGGTTTCGAAAAAAATGGGTGATGTTACGGGTCTGAGCAATGCAGAAGCCGACGAGCTGTGCAAAAAACCCAATGCTGCAACCAAGGTGAGTTCATTGTAATAATCGTAGGCATATTCGTGAGTGAGAATAAAAACAAAAATGGGAAACCATTTCGACAGGACTTTCTGTTCCAACAAACCATGTACCGCATCAAGGATCCACGCAAATCGCTGCCTTTTTATACGGGTGTTCTGGGCATGACCCTGCTGGTGAAATTGGACTTTCCGGAGGCTAAGTTTACCCTGTACTTCATGGGGTAAGTTCAAGTGGCAGCAACAAACATATGGCAATTAATAATCAATAATTAACACGGATTTGTTGAAACATTCTCACAGCTATGAAAACCCCGCCGATGTACCCAAAGATCCCAAAGAGCGACGAAGCTGGGCAATGAGCCGCAAGGCCACCATTGAATTGACGCAGTGAGTGCTCTTAAGTCGCTTGATTGATTTGATTGATTCATTGAGCTTAATTGCAGCAACTGGGGCACTGAATACGATCCGGATCAAAGCTATCACACGGGCAACAGCGAGCCTCGCGGCTATGGCCACATTGGGCTGATGGTACCCGATGTCTATGCTGCCTGCAAACGGTTGGTCCACATCTCGCAGCTCTCACGTGTATATATATATAAAACCCACCATTTCTTCCATATAGCTTCCAGGAGCAGGGCGTGGAGTTCGTTAAGAAGCCCGACGATGGCCGCATGAAGGGCCTGGCTTTCATCAAGGACCCGGATGGCTACTGGATTGAGATTTTCAATGCCAATACCGTGCCGAACTAGAGTAGAGCCATATTCAGTCTTAATTTCTTTTGCGCATTTGTTTTTTAACCCAATTTTTAGACACTTGTTTATTCTTGTTTTTTTGTAAAGGCATTGCAGTTGAATTTCGCAGTAAATGTTTGTACTAAAATCACAAGCCGTATTTTCGAATGGCGTGACAATTGTCGATAGCATCCCACACTGTCTACGGACCCAACTTTTTCATTCATAAACTCGATGCCGCGGCCTCGGACCAGCTGTCAGCGAATAATTGGCTGCTATGTCCTTAATTGATTGACATCGCGGACTCTAATTATTATTTACAGCAGCTATACGGTTCGTACGGACAGGCAGACAGAACTATAGTAAACAACTTCTTCATATGTGCCATTTGCGGTGCAGGCTGGCCTTATGGTGTTCACTTAGGCTGTCTGGACTAATAATAGTCAAACACGGGAGCGCATTATTTGTTCAGTGTCAAATGCGCATTAAAAAAAAAAAAGAAAAGGAAAGCACACATTTTGCAGTTGGGTTATTTCCTGTTTCGGGGGCCAGGAACTCAGTACCTGTCGAGAGCTTGAAGGAACCGTTTGCGAAAAACCATGGAAATTTCTGAGCCTAGCGTTGGCATATTCTATGTCAGTAGGATTCTGGCCCTAGCGCCATATTCAGCCAAAAGGAATTCCAAAGGACAACTGGATATCCGTCGTAGTTGGATATTTTCCATTTACTCCGTTTGCTTGTGTGTGATCATGGGTAAGTTAAGATGCTGAGATGCTATCGATCGAAAGGAGCTCACATAATAATTTCCTCGAGTTAGTTTTCTTGACCTATCGCGGACTTTTGTTCGATGCAAACTCGAAAATACCAGTTCGGTAAGTTAAATTTGCCTATCAAAATCTATGTTGTCGGAAAAGTAAATTACGAGTCATCTATTTTGCCATATATTTTTATAATATTTTCTTAAGTTTGCAAGCTTCTTTACATAGTATTATTTGTTATTGTCCTGTTCTCGAATATTTGGATTTGTCCTCTGTTCTCAGAGCCTGCAGCCTCGTCTAGAGCTGCTGGGCTTCCACATTTGCTGGATCAGCTGCTGGCAGCGCCTCTCGCACAACTCGGCCAATGGGCCTGAAGGTGGGGCGTGGCAGATAGGGGGGCCTCTCGTGCCCGGCCAGAGCCATTGCGCAGATCGAGAGCAGTAGCAAAATAATTGTGAACTTCATTTTCCTTTGATTGACAATGCTTGATTGATGCTGTTCGATTGACTGGCGGCAGCTTTTATAGCGACGCTTCGGCCCGCCTCAGCTACGCGATTTTCCGGTACTTTTTGTGGTGCGTTTGGGGCTTTACATATCGGTCGCCGTTTCGAGACAAGGAAATATGTGACCTGGCTAACTAATTGACTTATTTTGTTCACTTCGTATGATAAGTCCAGGTCTTATCAGTACAAAGCTGAGTTCACTCAAATATAGGGGAACTCTTTTCGATTGCCCACAAAACATTTAAAAATTGACATATATTTTTACCTTAAGCATTGTAAGCATATTTCCTGAGCCCGTTGAAAATGTGCTTAAAATATTAAGCTGGTCTTTTGCAAATATAAATACAATATAATATATAATATCAAATATTTTTGATCAGCATCAACAGCCGAGTTGGTTACAGGGTATCTCCTAGTCAAGTACTCCCGACTAGAGCGCTTTTACGTGTTCGTTTAAGCTTGGTTCTGTTTTTTCATTTCAAATATGATATAAAGGTTTATAGATCTTATTAAAACTTCATAAGTAGAATGCCAAATTTAATCAAAATGTTTTTTAGTCGTTTTAAATAAGATAGTATAATTTAGTTTTTTTAGAGCCTGCTTAAATTGAAATTTTTAATCGATTTCAGGGATTTCAGGCTATTTTTGTTTAAGACCGGGACTTGTGACACATTTGGGCTTATAGTATAGGCAATGATCTGTAAGAAAATTCGCATTCCTGCAGTCGTCACTCAGATCAGACTTGTCGATAAGTCCCGTAGTTCATTAATAAGTATAGATTATGCGAGGCTTGTTCCTACGAAAAATCACCGCCTAAGTAAATCCCCAACTGAATGCAAGCGACAAAGCTTGGCTATAAAAAGCGCTGCAATCGAATCGAACAGCATCAATCAAGCATTGCCAATCAAAGGAAAATGAAGCTCACAATTATTTTGCTCCTCCTCTCGATCTGCGCAATGGCTCTGGCCGGGCACGAGAGGCCCCCCTATCTGCCACGCCCCACCTTTAGGCCCATTGGCCGAGTTGTGCGAGAGGCGCTGCCAGCAGCTGATCCAGCAAATGTGGAAGCCCAACAGCCTTAAATGAGGATGCAGCATCTAGAGGATCGAGCTGATTAATCTCAAGACATATTTATATTGTCATGTTGTTTCTAAACTCAAATAATAAATAAATGTTTTTTGGATTGTAATTAACTAAGCAATTAAAAGTGCTCTAGTCGGGAGTAACTGGGCTACTTTTGCAAACATTCTAGCTTTATCTATACATAAGCATACGGGCCTTACAAAGAAGGACTTATCACGATTTAAGCCTTTTAAGCACGCACAGGACATAAGTACCAAGGTCCTGCTCAGCACGACACGTTAAAAAATGATCAAATTTGAAATTTTTCGCTTCTTTCCAAAATTGAAGAATGGGAATGTCGGGATCTGACTTCCATCATATTTTTCTAACTCAATATCTTATAACTTTCTACTTCAACTATCTAAATTTAACGGATTTCTGTCGGATTACTCGTGCAATCTATGTTTAAGACTTAAAGCTGATTTGATATTCCCTCCTATTAATAATATCGATAAATCGACAACTTACCTCGGAGATTATAAGAGCTGGAGAGAGCCTGTTAGGTTGATTCTTTAAAACAGAACTCATATTTATGTTTGATCCCTTGGGCTTTGGTATTTACACACTTTTATATGTCAAACATAAGCCTTGAAATTTGTATAAAGATCCGGCTGAAAACACCGGAGTTATATAAGAATGTATTCCCCGTAAAATGTGAAGCTTGCGACGTACATTTGGGTTTCTTTGTATCCATGCCTGGAAATGTATCTTTAAGTTGTTTAGAGCACTTGTAGTTTTTTTTTTTAATAAAAATTTCATAAATATGTTCACATAATCATCTTTATGTTGCTTAACGTTCCGCCAAGCCCTGTTATATGTTTATATGTCGATTGCATTTAAAGTTGAATGTTCGAACAAATGTGTTGCTTAATTCAACCATCTGAATGAATCTAAATTTGAATAAAATCCAACAAATCGAAAGCGCATCTTTCAGAATGAAATCGGCGACCTCGAAAGTGGTAACCGCCTCGGATGTGTCGGTTGTGGTGATGGCCATCGTAGCGGGTGTTTACTGTGGCGTGTTTGGCTTGCGTGCCACCCAGGAGCTGAACACACGACTAGAAAGGGTAAACCCAAACGCAGCATGGTCAAAGAAATGCCCATCAACCCAATTCCTTTGCAGATCGACAGCACGCTTAGTCCATACAACAATTTCAAGAGGGATCGCTGGCGTGCCTACGGCATGGCCAGCATTTCGCTTGTGGTCATTGGCATACTGCTCGGCCTGGACGTGCAGACGTGGGTGCGCATGGCCCAGAAAATGAACATCAACAAATCTGATACTGGTGGGTAATGCAATTGTAACTGATTTCTTGATCTCAAGCTATACAAATTCCATTTGCCAGAGCTCAACATACAGTGGTACATACCCTTCTACAGCCTCTATTTCATATTGACCGGACTGCACATTAATTTCGCCAACACAGCTTACGGCCTGGGCAGACGCTATGGACGCCTCAATCTGATGCTCCGAACAAGTTATCTGGGTGGTAAGCTTATCTGTATAAAAGGGTTTCATCTTATTGACGAATTAACGGAGTTAATGATCGACAGATCAACGTAGTTGATTGCGAGGTTTTCGAAAATTCCGCTTGCAAATGTGAGAAATTGGTGGAAAACGGTTCCATTCCAAAAGTTTCAAACTCATTTAAAAACAATCGTTGTGAGAATTAAGCTGAAGTGTATTACACTTTTTTGATAATCCAGCTCTACTTTCTGTGAAGTTAGACCCTTGAATATTGAAATAAATAATCGGGGGTATACTCCTCTATAAAAAAAAGTGATAGGATTCCACGACTAGGCCTGCTGAGGGAAATCTTTAACGATTCATCCAATACCTTTGTAGATTTTATGTTGGTCCGATGTTAACAAGATTTGGTTCATATAGATAGAGCACAGCGGAACTAATAATCCCGATACTTGCCCAAATATCTCTAAAAGTAGGTTGTTTTACTAGAACTTAACATCCGACTCATCGATTTGATGAGATTTTGCTTATATGTTGGGAGCATTGTAATACTGATAATTGCCGAGCTTTGTCCAGATATCATTATCTTTTTGGACGATCATTCCAATAGCAGCTATATGGCGACAGAAATACCCCTATCCACTATATATATATATACCTTAAAGCCGTGCAAAGCCGGGATATTTTCACTCTAAGTAGAATTGATACTGATAAAATATTCACATCAACCTGCATATTTTCAGAAAACAAGTATCCCAATACACCCAATCTGGTAAAGGTAAGTGCTGTTAAGGCGATTAGCTTCAAACCGATGATGCCCATGGCCTTGCACGCCAGCTTAACCAAGTTGAATCCCGAGTCGTTACCCAATGAAGCTGCGGGTATGAAATCACTAACAACTATCAATTATATAGCCTAAGATCTTTGTACTCTTTCTCTAGTTAAAAGCAAGAGTCAACTTATTAGATCCATGGCCGACAATCACGAGTCGTTGGGCAAATGCGTGCGTCTGCTCTCCAGGTGAATATTCCCCATATCGAAATAGGGCTATAGTTATATTCGCATATCCATTGCAGCTCCTATGGAATGGCTGTGCTGTTCATACTCGTCTCCTGTTTGCTTCACTTGGTTGCAACTGCGTACTTTCTTTTCTTGGAAATGTTCAATAAACAGGACAACGCCTATGTGTGGGTACAAATGCTATGGATCATTTTTCACTTTTTGCGCCTGCTAATGGTCGTGGAGCCTTGTCACCTCGCAGCCCGCGAGTCACGCAAAACCATTCAAATTGTTTGCGAAATTGAGCGCAAAGTCTATGAGCCCGTTTTGGCCGCAGAGACAAAAAAGTTTTGGCAGCAGCTGCTTGTCGTCGATGCGGAATTCTCTGCCAGCGGACTGTGCCGGGTCAATCGCACCATCCTGACATCGGTGAGTTCCTCTTTGATGCTTACTTAAAAGTATTTGTCTTATTTTAAATAAATTTAGCAATTGGCAGTTAAATTAAGCATGAAAATGATTAAATATTTAAATGATGACATCAAAATATTAATTTTACAATATAAAATTCTCCATTACAGTTTGCCTCAGCTATAGCTACTTATTTGGTTATACTATTTCAATTTCAAAAGACGAACGGTTGAAGCTTGCCGAGATTATTCGATGGAGCGTGTATTATTAGGTATACAAAAGGTTGCTTTTATTAACACTAAACGGAATTCTTAGCTGTGTTTAAGTTTGTAATTACGTTAGCAAACAATAAAAGAAAACGTGTTTTTTTGTGATTATTCCAAACCCAATTGAATTGAACAATTAAGCAAATTAATCTTCATGCCTACTTAAACGCACATTATAATTAGACTTCATAATATTGTTTAAACTAGTTTATTAAAAAGTCGATATTCTGCTCAGAAACCCTTCTGATACTGCTTGGTTTCCATGCGCTGCTGAAGCAGCTCCAGCTGACGCTTGGCCTCGCACTGTGGAAAGTTGTTCAGATCATAGTACTGGGGCGCCAGACTGAGCAACCATTCAGCTGGAATGCAAAAGTGTATTAATAGATTATGAGAATCTGGGTATTACTGCTGTTACTCACGCTTCACATCTGTCACAGTGCGTATGTAGTTCTTGGTGGTCAACACAAACTCATTGTAGATGACCCAGTCGGGCTTGTGGTCCAGACACGTTGAAGGATGCAGCTGCACGTTCTGGTTATCCTTGATAGTCAGATAGTGTCCAATCCGCTCCAGATGCGCAACCTGCATAAAGAAGCCCTGTACGAGGGCCTTGCGTATATTGACATAGTAGTCCTTAGAGGTGAACTCTGTGCTGGTGCGCTTCAAGCTGAAGCGATCCATGATACGCGCTAGCTGCTGTCGCACATTGTCGGCGCTCTTCAGCGACCGGAAGTTGATAAAGTTCTCGTAGCACCAGTTCGGATCTTCGCTGCCTATTGAAAAACAGAAGACAAGCCAAATTTATATCAAACAAGAAGCAACAAAGACCGAGGGCGTACTTACTCTGTTTGAAGGCGTGGTAGACGTTCAGCAACGTTAGATGATCCCCGTCGATATGAGCGAAGCGCATCTTGGCCTCGTCGGCCACCTTCTTTGCCTCATTGGGTCGCACGAAACATTGTGGCACTTTGGTTGATGTTTGATGTTTGAATTGGTTTTTTTTCGATTAAGCGCAAATTCAAAACATTGTTTTTTTTTTTACATAAACAAATAGATTGTGCTTACATTTTTGTCAGCTAGGCAATCTAGAGGTTTGATTCAAAGATTGATTGCATTTGTGAGTTGCATGTGCGTTCAAAGCCAGCGGCAGTTACAACAAGATAAATTATTAGGACGAGTGCCGCGTCACACATTTAAAGCAAATGTGCGCATCGGGCGCAACGCACGTGCAACTTTGCTTCAGTGTTGAATGCAAAGAACAAATAAATTGATAAACTTTTTTCTTTGCACATAGAATTATACATAAGGGTGCAGTCAATGTGCGTTCAAGTTGTCGTCGGTTGGGGCTTAAGTGGTAAATGCACAATTACATTAGCTTCAAGTGGCACATTCATATATGAATGCGATTCAACTTATGTCAACGTGCCAGTTTAAGATAATGTTTTTGTGATATGAGAGAGAGAGAAACCCACACAAAGCTAGCACTAACTACTTTTCAATTTAAGGGACAACCCACTCGAAACTGAAGCCTGCGCTACGCCGTAGAGAGCAAAATGTTATTGAATTCCACTTCGTGTTAACATTCTACCATAAAATTTGAAATAAGTTAAGCAAGGTCCAATGTGATTGGCTTGTGGCTCAGAAAGTGGAATAGACTAACATTTGCTAATTTCTACACCTCATTAAATTCAACTGAATCACGCTTGGAGTTTTTGTGTAGTTTGTGCCTCACCCGACAGCATAGCCGTAATTGAGAGTATCTCATTGGAACAATTGTGTTGGCAACTGGCTATCAGCATCTTGGCCAATTGTGGGTCCAGTGGAAACTCGGACATGACAGCACCCAGGTCTGTCAGATTACCATCATCGTCGAGGGCGGCCAAGTAGTTAAGCAACTCTAAGGCACGCATGAGCGTCTCGGGAGCTGGCGGGTCCATAAAGTCAAAGTGCACCAAGTCATCGATGCCCAGTTTCTTGAGCTGCAGCACCACAGTACCTATTTTAATGTTCAAATACAATTGAATAATGTAAATAATATATAAGCAAAATATGACTTACCCAAATTAGATCGCAAAATCTCGGGGTATGTGTTGTCCTGCATTTCGTTTTTAAACGCCTTTTCCGTGTAGAGGCGGAAACATTTGCCTGGACGTGTGCGGCCTGCACGACCCGCACGCTGTTGTGCCGAAGCCTTTGATATCGGCGAGACGAGCAAACTCTCGACACGTATGCGTGGGTTGTAGACCTTCTGCTTGGCGAAGCCAGGATCAATGACAAATACAACGCCATCAATAGTAAGAGAAGTTTCGGCAATGTTTGTAGACACCACAACCTTGCGACCAATGGCACCGTTCGCATTTGGTGGCGGCGCCGCCTCAAAAATGCGCTGCTGCAGATTCGGTGGCAGCGTCGAGTACAGAGGTATGCACTTGAGCTCGCCAATTTCGGAGCCTAGATTGTCAATTTCGCGCTTTATGCGCTTGCATGCCTCCTCGATTTCTTCCTGGCCTGTGAGGAACATAAGGATGTCGCCTGTTCACGCAACCAATATAGATTAGTGTCAACCAGAAGATAGGGTATTGGCTTTATACGTACCTTCAATTTCCTCGCACATATGAATCTGAATGACCGTGCGTATTGCTGCCTCCAAATAGTCTCTCTCGGGCTCAGGGGTATAGAAAATCTCTACGGGATGTGTCCGACCGGGCACGTTCATGAGCGGCGCATTGTCAAAGTACTGCTGGAATTTGCCTGCATCAAGAGTGGCTGACATGACCACTAATTTGAGATCATTACGCTGGCGAATAACCTCTTTTAGTACGCCCATCAGTATATCGGTAGCCAGCGTGCGTTCGTGCGCCTCATCAAGCAGTATAACCTGATATTGATCCAGCATGGGATCCGACATAGCTTCACGCAACAGCATACCATCTGTCATATACTTAAGCAGCGTTTGCGGCGAAGAGCAATCCTCAAAACGGATGGAGTAGCCGACTTCCTCGCCCAAATTAACGTCCATTTCTTCGGAAACGCGCTGAGCCACAGACATGGCAGCCACACGACGCGGCTGTGTGCAGGAGACACCCTTGCGTCCTTTGGAGACCGCAAAATCCACGCACCATTGAGGTATCTGTGTTGTTTTGCCAGAGCCCGTCTCGCCCACCAAGACAATGCACTGGTGCTGACTGAGCAGACGCATAAAGTCCGCCTGATACTCAAAAACCGGCAGTGTGATGCGCTTTTTGTACAAGTTTTGATAGCGCGCTGAGTAAGGCTTTCTTGTGAAGGGATTGATTGTCGGCGGCTACCAAAATGAAATATGCAATATAAGAGCCGGTGTTAAGAGTGCTTACACGTGTAATATGGCTTTAGAAGTATTTACCTGCTTGCTGGGCACAAAGCCACCCAAAATTTGGGCGACCGTGCCGGCCGCAGAAGCTGCCGCTGCTGATGCCGATGTAGAAGCCTCTAATTCTCTGCGAATGACACACGGCGTTGAACTAAAACATGTGCGATGGATAAAATTGGTCTTCAGGCATATACTCACTTCTTTGCCTTGCTGGAGTACGTTTCACCCACTTCAATACGTCGTTTCGACATCTTTCCGTTTTGTTAAATTCACAACAATTAGCGAAAAACTTTTGCACAAAAAAACACGCGCTGAAAAGCAACGTGAAAAGCGATAAATAAAACGAGGGATGACAAAAAGTATCGTAAGTCGACCAATATACACTACTAATCGATATATCGACGTACCGATATTTCTCCAAGTTACAAATAGTAAGTTGTTTCCCTCTGCAAAATAATGATAATGATGACTGTTGATAGAATAGTTAATTCCTAAGAATTGAATCCATTCGCTTATGTTATTTTTACATTAACCTAATCTATATATAAGCCCCTCTATATATATAATAAAATGGTTACATGAAACTTTTCTGTTTACCGTCCTCAAACTTAATTTGCAGTCTTTAATTTGAGAAATGTACTAAAAAATAGTTGAACTGGGAAAAGTGGGGGAATTCATTCATTAACTATAAATAAACTAGATATAATAAAATACCAACTTGCTACTTTCAATGCTATAGATGTATCGCCATTGTCGCATCTCGATAGTTGTTGTCAGTGCGCAGCAATATCGATTCAGCAGTATTTGCAATATTTTTTGAGATGCGCGAAATGTATATTAAAATGCAGAAATCAAAGTGAAAAACTGTTGCCAAAGCGACAACAAAACATGGAAATACCGATACAAGTGGCTGTTCGCATTTATCCCCACACAGAGCTCCAAAAGAAGGCGGAGCATAAAGCGCCCGAGGATGGCGACGCAGAAGCAGACAAGCCGCAATCGGAGCCGTCATCCCCTCCCCCGTCTAGGCCTGTTCAAACCACGGAAATAGATGCCAATGGCAATAACGAGATAGACGCCACTCAATTGAATACAAATGAAACGCCAGATTTTGACAGTGCTAGTGGCTGCTGCGTGCAGGCCATACCAATCGCTGTATCGGCTCTAGGCTTGCCGAGCGCATTGCCCGGCGGCGCGGCTCTGGACAGTATTGCTGCGGGTCTTATACAGGTGGGCGCACACACCGTTCCCGTGACACACGCGCTGCCCAGCAGCACGACGCAGAGCCAGGTTTATCATCAGACTGTGTTCCCATTGATCAGCCTATTCTTGGAAGGGTTCGATGCGTCGGTGGTTACGTATGGACAACGCTCTACTGGTAAAACTTTCACGCTCTATGGACATGGTTTCGAGTGCGTCTATGGAGAGGCGGACCAGGGCGTGGTGCAGCGCTGCGTGCGCGAGATTTTTACACACATTGCGGCGCACACAGGTGAGTGCTCATAAGCATTCCATTCCAAGTGGGATATTAAACATTAACATTTACGAAAATCTTCTTTTTTTTAAGATCGCACATATGCTGTTAACGTGGGGTTTGTGGAGATCTGCAACGGCGAAATTCGCGATCTGTTGGGCATGGGCAATGTGCACTGTACAACCGTGGAAGAAGTTTTCCACTGGCTGCAGTTGGGTTTGAGCACCAAACAGCAGTCACCCGCTCACACGCTCTTCACACTAACATTGGAGCAGCAGTGGGTTTCGAAGGAAGGTTTGATTCAGCATCGTCTGTCCACGGCTAGTTTCTCGGATCTCTGCGCTAGCGAACGCTGGGGTGAGCCGCCTCCGGGACATCCACGAGACGCCGGATTGCAGATGTTGGAGCAGGTGGTGAACACACTGACTGATCCCAGCATAATGTACGGCGTCAATGGCAATATTCCCTACGGTCAGACTACACTGACCACCCTGCTTAAGGACTCTTTTGGTGGTCGTGCTCAGACGTTAGTCATTCTGTGTGTGTCGCCGCTGGAACAGCATCTTTCCGAGACGCTGGGCAATCTGCAATTCGGATTCAAAGTTCAGTGCGTTCGCAATTATGTAATCATGAATACTTTTTCCGATGACAATACTCCGATTTCGCCGGAGGCATTGCCGAACGATCCTGGAGCGGCTGGCAGTGAGGCACTTATGGCGGCCGTGGCTTTGCCCAACGGCGACAACTTTGGACTGCAGTTCGCGGCTAGTCAGTGGTTCAAGCTGGTGTCCAACGCAGAGGGACTTTTTGCCAAGTGAGTGAGCCGACAGAAATTTGCTCGCTAGTTTTAAATTTGTATATTTTCACTCTCAGATTAATGGGCTCGAATGCAATTACGGAGCTGGAAAAGGAACAAATCGAGGAGTGGCTCTTTTTAAAGCAAGAGTGTGAGGAATGCCTCAGTTCCAGTGAAGTGCTGCGCACCCAGAAGCCGCTTGTGCCCATTCAGGAAGCGGAGGAGCCAGAGGAGTCTATCAGTGAGCCGGAAACCTCCTGTCAACAAAACTCGGACAATGACACCGACAATGAGTCACAGCGTCCCGACCTGGCCGAGAAGCTTGACAGCCTCATGGATGAGTTTCGCTCCAAAACGGATGCACTTATCCAAGCCAAGCATGAAGAGTTTATGCTTAAGCAGCCCAAAGCGGTCATGCAAAGCCTGGACAAAGAGCGGGAACAGGCCGTTCAAGAGGCGCCCGCACAGCTTGAAAAGTGCGACGAGCGCAAGGTGAGCGTTGGGGGTAAGTATACTGAATACAAGTGCATCTATCTTTATAGTCTTTGCTATTCAATACTTTCTAGGTCGACGTCGCAGCATACAGCCGGGCGCCAGCTTGAGCAGCGCAGAATTGGCAATGCTCAATCGTGTTGCTTCACAGCAGGCGGCGGGAACTGAACTGTCACCTGAGCTCGATCCATTGAACAGTTCGTCGGGCGCGACTGGCGCCGCTGGCGTAAATGCGCCCATTGAGCAAGTGCAGAAAAAGATGAGAAAGCTGCACGCCGAAATCGAGGCGCGCCAGCGACAGCTGAATGAAATAGAACAGACTATGCAGCTTAAGCAAAACATTATCAGTGAGCTGGTCAAGAACCGCGAGACCCGCAGCCATGCCAAGCAGCGTTTTCACAAGAAGAAGGCCAAGTTGGATGCTGAGTGCGACAAGGCCAAAAAGCATCTTGCCAAGGCGCTGGTGCAGGGCAAGGATAAGTCGGAGATTGAACGGTGGGGCGCTATTGTAGCACACATTGAGCAGCGCCTGCAGGATCTCAGCTCCATGAAGCATATTGCCGGCGAGAGTGGACAAAAGCTCAAGAAACTGCAGCAATCTGTTGCGGAGTCGCGCAAACAAATCGAGGAGGTGCAGAAAAAGCTTAAGAAGGAATGCAAACTGCGTGATCAGTTGGAAGTCGAACTCAAGAGCTTAAAGGAGGCATCACTAGTCAAACTTGAGCCTAATCCAGATCAGCTCAAGGCGGTGCAGGCTCGCATTACCCACTTGGATCATATACTGCGTGAAAAGTCCGAAAATCTTGAGCAATGGAACGGCGGTGAAAAGTCTCCGGCCCAACAGGAAGGTCTGCGCCACGAGATACGTAATCTGCGACGCACGCGCGACCATTTACTGGAACAGCGCTGTACGCTGGATCGCAAGCTCAAGCGTGACAAAATGCTGACTCAGCGCGAGGAGCGGAAGCTACTTGAGTGCGATGAGGCCATCATGGCTATTGACGAGGCCATCGAGTTCAAAAACGAGCTAATATGCGGCCACAAGTCTATCGACCTGTCCACCGAGCGACAGCAGCGAGAAAAGGGCGAACAAATGCTGATGGCGCGACTAAACAAGCTCTCATCGGAAGAGATGCGCACGCTGCTCTACAAGTACTTTGTGAAAGTCATCGACTTGAGGGATTCGTCCCGCAAACTCGAGCAGCAGCTGGTTCAGTTGGAGCGCGAGCGTGATGCCTGGGAATGGAAGGAGCGTGTACTGTCGAACGCAGTGCGTCAGGCTCGACTTGAGGGCGAACGAAATGCGGTGCTGCTCCAGCGCCAGCACGAGACAAAGCTCACACTTATGCTGCGTCATCTGGCTGAAGAGACCTCGACCAGCTCAGCCAGCTATGGAGAGCGCGCACTAGCACCTGCTAGTGTCCAGGCCACCAGCAGCGAGTTCGACTATGACCTGGACTTTTACAAGGCGGCCAGTAACAAGGCACTGCTCAAGGCCCAACAGCCTAAACCCACGCCCGCCGTTTTGGATAAGTACAAGGATAAGGAGCGCAGCAGCGGGCGTAACATCTTTGCCAAGTTCCAGGTGCTCACACGCTATGCTTCCGCAGCAGCTGCTGCGGCAGGCTCATCCTCGACCGCAGACGAATCCACAGCTCTGATTGAGACAACAACCACGGCGGCAACAACCACGACCACCACAACCACAACGGCAACCACAAACACGTCGGCTAAAGGCAAAGAGAAGGCGCTGGCCAACATCAACCAGGATCAGCTAAAACGTCTGATGCCCGCACCAACGTCCACAAAGGTGACGCGGCAAAAGAACAAGATTATCATACAAGATGCTACGCGCAAGAACTAAAAATTCTACGAATTTAGCGCAAGAGCCTCTATTTTTACAATGCAGTAAAATTGCTGAGAGAGAGAGGCTACTGCGCTCGCCTGAGATTGGGTACCGATCAAAAAAGTCGGAGACAGCCGGAATGGTTCCCCTTCCATTCTCCGTTTCCATTTAGACCCGATTTACTCAAAAACTCGTTTTTCAACAAAAAAGGCTTCCCGGAATGGATGTACTCAACAAATTGTACACAGAGACATGTATCAATAGACTTAACCATGGTTTTCTTCTGACTCCTGGCGCATTTAAATGTCCACAAAAGTCGCGCGACTGGCAAATGTAAAGACTTGACAATTGTTACTTAAAATACTCACAATTCAGACTTCCCAATAAGAAGGAAAATCGCAATTAACTCGCTCAAATTTGTAACTTAAGTAATATTTCGAATCTCTTTTTTATGTACATATATACAATATGTATCAATTTTAGTTATAGGTTCTACATTTAGGTTTCTTTCTAAGCCTCTGTCCCAACAATTGCTTTTTTAGTTTTACTATAATTGTGTCTTCCCTCAACCTGACTCGAGCTCAAATATCCTTAGATATGTCAAACTAACTGACTTCCTACCCAATGCATTTATTATCAGTGTATAATTAAGCAGTTATCTTTATGTTATATATATATATTTAAATTCGTGTTTCTATCAATTACTCATACCATATAAATAAGTATAAGCATACATGTATGTATATAATTTAAGACTATGTTAAAAACTTTTAGGTTGTGTTTTATTTTGTTTGAATTTACAGAGCGAGAATCATAAAAATATTGCATATGCTTTTTATCAAATTCATATATTCCGAATAAAAGTATTTTAACAAAAAATTCGTTGTGTTTGAAAAAATAAATACGTGACTCCCTTTTCGCAAAAAGTACCAGGTATAAAAGTAGATGTGTGTTTAACAAGATATCTAGAAAGCTGTCAGACCGTTTTTCCTAAAATAACTTTTCGTCCTAATCAATAATTTAATTGTGGGTTCATAACATGTACCTACACTTATAAGAACCTGCCAATAATAAGGCCGCTTTGCCGAGCTGCCTCGTTCACAACATGATATCAACAGGTGTCCCCTGAAAATGTCCCAGAAAATTTCCCAAACAAATGCCCCTTCACACACACACTGACAGCGGGCGGCAAGAGAATATAAAGCAAAATGGCCGGCCGCTCCGGAGCAACTGTCTGGCAGAGAGGCAATTCAGTCTGGTTTGGACCGTCGAGCGATAACCGTCGAACGTATTGTAGTCGGAGATTACGTCTGTCTGTTTTAAGAGTGTGACTGAGTGTGTGAGTTGTTTGGGCTACGGTTACGGTACGGTACTCACACCCCCGCAAACCGGTTAGCTGGTGGTGGTTCTATCGTAAGCGCGCTTTGTGTGTGTGCGTGCGTGATTTGTGTACGCTAAATAAAGTTAAATAAAATGCAAAAGCAATAAATAATACAACCAAATTGTAAAAAGCAGAGCACAGCGCCAAAAAGGCAAAGCGTGTGTGTGTGCGTATAGTGTAGCAGTCGTTGTGCAGAGTCGCCACCCCAGTGGATTAGTGGCACCCTGTTACAATTTGCTCACACTCCAAGTGTTAGTGAGTGTTTGTGTATTGTGCATAAACATTAACTAAATAAATTGATCAATCAAGCCATAGTCAAAACACTATCGAAGTGGTAGGTAACAACAACAACAGCATTATATCGTGTTTTTGTAACTGTCTGGCAACTTCTTTGTGCGTGTTTGTCTCCGTCGGGCTGCTGTTGTTGTAGCATTTACTGTTTTCCACGCCCACATCTACACCCACGCCCACAGCCAAGCTACCATTCTCAGACGAACTGCCCATGGTTATAGTTTGATTTTCTGCAATAAATTGATCTTGAGCAATATTTTTGCAAAGTTGCACAGCTTCCTATTGATTTTTCGCCAAAAACTAAAGTTTTCCCTTTAGCGAATCAACTTTGTTACTTTCTTCACACACACATACACACACACACACACTCACACACACCAGCATGCAAAAGGGTGTGTGCTGCATAGAGGCTCAGGAATTGGACTTGATTGCAATGCGAATGTTTGAGGTCCTGGCAAACGCATTCAACTGCTGAAAATAATCAAAACTTATACGAATTATAATACCGAATATATTCTGAGACATTCTTGAGCATTTTTGGCATTTGTTTATAACATTTTCATTCAGAAAATGGAATTTTTCTAAGACACAGTGTATGGCATTTGCCAAGCACAATTTTTTGCGCATGCGCCTTGCAATTTACACAGCATTGAAAGCAACTCTGGGTTGTGCTCGTGTGTGTGTGTGTGTAGCTGTGGGTGTGTGTATGTATGCAACCTGCCTGAGCTGCCTTTGTCTCTGTCAGGTAGTTTTTCCCTTCTCAGGCAGGCAGGCGGGCGGCTGAGGCTCAGGCTCAGGCGAGGGCCACTTTACTTTTAAGAATCTTTTAAAATCCTTTGCAGTTTCCATGTGGCACACATACGCAGCCCTCATTGTGCTCATATAATTGTGAGCTGTGTTTGCGTGCGTGTGTGTGTGTGTGTGTATCTGTGTGCGAGCAACCCCTGTTAAATAAGGAACTCATCCCGGGCCCGTCAGCTCTTCAACAAAATCTCGTGCAGCTGTCGCTGAACGTATTTTTTTTTTTCATTTTTGTAGTTTCCTTTATTTGATTTTGCAAGTGTTGCGCTTTGCTTTGACCCCCTGGCTCGACTGTCTGCAGGTCCTTCATCTCTTGCTCGTCGTGACAGCATCCTTTGCACTCGTCCTGTTGCTAGGCGGAGTTTTTCGACTGCCAACATTTCAGGCATCTTCTCGAATTTGTTTTTGTCCATCGTCCGCGCCTATTGATTTGATTTAAAGATGTGTTAGAGAGCGTTTTTTAAGTATCTGAAGAATGTGTGGAAAATAATATGCACTGGCCAAGCAAATGAACCAAGGCTTGTCTTCACTTTCTTCTCGTAGTCAACATGCTTTGCATTCGTCCTGTTGCTAGTCTATTTGCATCATTTTAATATAACTTTGGAACTGATTTAGAATTATCTCAAAACTGGAGGGCAACAGATATTTTTTATCCATTAGGCTGAACCAGATACATCCTTGTCTTGGCCTTTAACACAATGCCATTTAAGTAGTCTCGTGATATGCTGAGTATCTGGCAAATATTGATTTTGGCTGTCGCACCAAGTGTCAATGGACATGGCCAAAGGGTAAAGTGAACAACGGACACAAACAGGCTAACCAAATAATGAGAACCAAGCAAACAAAAGTTATTCCTTTTGTTGCTGTTGTTTTTATTGTTGTTGTTGGTGCTGCAGCCACAAAGTGGACTCGAATGTCAATTAGGCGCCGCTTGCAGAGTCCAATGGGTCACTGAACATGAGACATGAAACCAGCGACTGCGCCAAACTGGACAATGGACAGTCGTTCCTTTCCGGTTTCGATGCTGCTGATGACGAATGCTGGATCCGAATGCGGATTGACCCTGCAATGGGCCAGTGCACTTTGTGGAGCAGACAACAGCCGTTTCCCCCTCTTTTATTTTATTTTTTACTTTTCGAAAAAAACACATTTTGCCGCAATTGCAAAATTTATTGGCCCAGCACCCTAATGCACAGACATTACAGTTGCCATCCGACGGAAAGGCAAAAAAAAAACAAGAATGAGTAATAAAATTTGTAATTCGTTGATGTTACCACGCGATTAGGGCACCGCCGGATCTGTCCAGATTTAACTGAGGCCCCGAATGCCCGCTTCGTTAAATTGACAACAAAATGTATTATTTAGAAAATGACTCAAATTCTTAATGCCGTATTTATCTCAAAATTCGGGGCAGTCTATTTGATTTAGTTTTTTCTCCACCTGAAACCTATGAATAAGCGTATAATGCTATAAATATTTTGTGCAATTGTATGTAACGGAAAGAAGGAAGCATCTTCGACGCTAAAAAGTGTATATATTCATGATCGTGGAATCTGAATCGATCTAGCAGTGCCTATCTGCGTCCCACGTCGATCTCGGAAACTTGAAAAGTTCGAGAAATATATTGTATCCTATATCCTATCACTCGTCATGTTTCAATAATATTGATAGAAGTGAATTTTCAGACTTTACGCAGAGTATTTCACGTCATGAATGAATCGTTCTCGTTCCCTTAAGCTAGAGCCTTTTGGTAGCATAAAATCGTAGCGATTCTAAAATACATTTTCCATAGTTATATTATGTGTATTTTTGTGTATTTATGCTGGTAAATTACGGAGCATTCCAGATGAGAATATTATACATACAACAAACATTCTCGTATAAAGTAAAACTAATTAAATAACGCAAGCACGTCCAACTTTTCTGTGTAGGATCGTTTTTTTTAATATCGCTGTTCCACTAATCCCTCAACTATTTTTAAGTTATGAGCATTATATTATATGTATAGCAAGTATTTGTGGATAACCAATAAACTTTGTGTTTTATTTGCTTTAAAAGTTTAAAAATTTTGATATTAAGATACTTTTAGCAATTGTATACAGAGCCGCGCGTGGATATGTCTCGATGTTGAACGATTACCAGATGTTTTCTTAATTAAGGCGCGCACTTTTCGGCATATGTTTAATTATTGTATCGTTTAAATGGGCGCGTCTCGCAAACGTTGCTGTAGAGGCCAAAGCTGGCTGAATCATGCCCCAAGGCAGCGAATGATGCTTCATTCATAACCAAACAAATGTGAGACGCACAGGATGAGCAATTGCCTGCTTATTCCATTAAATATTCGAAAATAAACGCGAGTTGGCCTAAAATTGTACTCAAAAAGTTCATTACCCTACACTAGTCGCAGATGGATAAATCTCTGAAACTATATTTTGGCGATTTGGTTCAAGGCAAAACAAAAATGCTTTGGCTTAAAGCAAAGTTCTTAAAAGTGCAGACAAATTTTATTCAATTTTCTATAAAACTTTTCAATTTATCACACATGAAAATATGATTTTATATTTGTAGCTATTTAAATTAGTAAGCTTTCCATATTAAGAAATTCTAGCAAATAATCTTGTTAAGTTAGGCTTGGCTGCTTTTAATTAGTATTTTAAATGAATTTTTGCTTTTCCACCCTAAAGTCTAATGCGCAGCTGGTCAACTGCGCCATAAGCCAACAAACTTGTCAATTGCGTTGTTCACCCTCTGGCAAAGTTCATTAAACCAATTCGTAGGCTAACATTTGTTAAGGCAACCGTCAGCCGGCCTGATCCTCCCTTTATGGCTGGCCACGTGCTGGCTGCGCCTGCGCCGCACAACCCTCCATCAAAATAGTCAATAAATCTAAAATCGCAGATAGAGTGGGAAATAGTTGGAGGGAGAGCTTCGGCGTGTTAAATACAATTCATTAGATACCCATAAAAAAAAGCTGAGCATCTAAAAACTACAAAAATAAAACAATAAAGAGGTTTAAGCATTTGTTGCCATGGAGGAATGCACTCAAGTTTTAATTAAGCGTTAAAAAGCGCACAAATTGCCTCTAAATTTTATACATCATCTTCGGCTATCCGCTGGATAAACTGCAGACACATGCCATAACAGACAGACAGACAGACCGACAGACAGGCAGACAGTTCCATGATGACATCCATGTCCGCGTGTATGGCAAGTTCATAACATGGCAAGAGGCATATGTCAAACTGAAGCACAGACAGTCCATAGAACTGGATAGATATTAAAAACACTTCGGTGTGTGCGTGGAATCGTGACTTCCTGTCAGGCATAGTTTGGAGGGGGCAGCTGACGGTTGATACTTTATGGATGACAAAAGGCACAAGACGACATCGAAGTGGATTCTCTATTGCCCCATTGCCGCCCATTTGCCCATTTGAGGTTTAATTAATGACATCCACATCGTCAGTAGTTGATTTTTTTCCTGCTTTTTACACACTTACATTGGATATTATAGTATTTACACTAAGTTTGTCATGCATTGCATTTTATTTATTTGCAAATCAATAAAGTATCTATATAAAACAGTGTGTTCTGACTTATTGCAATACACAGCCCGAGCCATAAAAGTAAGGAAGCTGACATTTTTTGGGATATTCCAGCAGAAAAATTCGCGAAAAATGGTTTCATTTTCAAAGATTATTGTGAATATTCGTTTGAAACGTGTTTCACTTTCCCTTAAATGCATCTCTCTTGGGTGTTTCACTTCTTTATAAAATGCAATTTGGAACGTGGCTTAGCGATTGTGTAAAATATAATATTATATATATAATATAAAAGATAAAGAACAATACCCCCAAGTATCATGGAAATCTAAGTCCATCTTACATTTATTAAAACTTATTATCATGTTAATAGAAATAACATAAAGTAGGCGGGAGATGCTCTTCATTTATCTTATATAACATTGCTTGCCTTGTGAATTTGATTGCTTGCCGATTCGCTTTACTATATTATATAAATTAATTTAATTGATGTCTGCAAGAGTATTAAATGTTCGGCAGCCCTAAGGTATTTGTTCATTGTTGTATTTGCTTCCCATTTTTCGCTGATAGTTTATATAGCTTTATAAATGGTTGGCGTTGTCGCAAGTTCCACGTCGCAAGTCTGCGGGTCTAATGCGACCTCCATATGTGGCATATGCGGACAAATTGTTGGCGCATTTACTTTCATGGATTTACATAAAAGTGCGTTGGGAGGGGGGTGTTGAAAGTCTTTTGGAGCTAAACGATGACAGGGCGCAACCCATCAAATATTAAGGGATTCATAAATATTCGGAGTAAAATGCATTTATATTAGAGAGTTGATTATCTTGTTTAGTTTCTTTTTACTATGGTCAAGGTATACTTTTAGCTAAGGGATTGTTTTATCAGACTTTTTCAGCTGAAAATTCTCTTGACTGTAGTCGTAAGCCTGCCACTCCTATTTGCCCACATCCAGCTATCGTTTTGCACTAAAATTTGCAAAGCAGGTTGTGCGGGTGGTTTTTTTATTGCCCTGCTTGAAGGGTTGCCTCTGGGGTTGTTGCCTGCCTAATCAAATTACTTGCATTTCATTAACACTGGGTAACGTGGTCGTTGATATTGTTGCGGGCCTTGTTTGGTTAAAATCGATAGTTACATGTGCTAGACGGTGTTAATTAAAAGACGTGCCTCTACCTTAACTGTTCCTGACTCAGAATAGTAGCTTGTAGTATAAGCTATTCATAATTAATTGAAACACATTCATATTCACATACTTTGATGTTTGAGCATTTATTATATTATTGGCAAACCGGAAGAAGAGTTCATTTCATAACTAATCCTAACCTCCACAATGTTTTGTTTCTGGTTGCAGCAGCTGAGTCACCGGGTCTACTTCTCACCTCCTCACTCCTCACGTCGCGTTCGTGTGTGCCTAGAAGGGTGTCTTTTTTGCATTTAATCGATACAGCCAACAGACCAACCCCGAGCGGAAAACTCATAATCCGGAGTGGACTACAAAATGGCCTATATGATGCCGAATGAACGTCTCAAATGGCTAACGCTGTGCGCAGCTGTTGCTGTTCTTGGTGAGTAATTTTATTATTTTTTGTACATATTTCTCATATTATTTCAGTGGAAAATGTTTAACATTTGTCCAATTGAGATAGCACTTGAGACGCCATCGAAATCTCATGCGTCAAAACTAAAGATTCCGAATCAAATGATAAATAAAAGTTGTAATAACACAGCGGACGGGCAGATACTCATTTCCCACGGGCTTTATTTTATGTAGAGAGCTCATATTAAAAAAAAAAACAAATAATACACATATTCTCTAGACTGCATTTGCCATACATTTCGTAGCTGTCAAACATTCAGCTAAAACCATGCTAAGCTTCAGAAGAACTGCAACAACTCTTTTTTCTTGGTATAGGGCATAAAAATAGAATGTTAGAACAACAAATAGTCGAACAGATACATTTTGGTGGAATTGTGCAATATTTCTTCTTCTACAAATTCTTGCCTCTGTTTATGAGTTTACACTTTTACTTTTCTCTGCTCTGTGGCCCGGGTTTTATCTTGTTGACACAGTCTCTTGAAAAGTCCGCTCGACTTGGATGACTTCTATGAATATTTAATTGTGCTTACTTCATTTACGTCGCTTCTATTTCACTCTGGCTTTTCCGAGTGTTTGCTTTTTGATATTTACTCGCCTTTTGCATATAAAATGCATTTTTAGATATTTCTGTTGACGTTACTGTGTCTGATTATGCCCTCTACCCATTAAAATGGGTAAAAGGGCTATATGGGCTGTGTGCAGCTAAAAGAAAATGGTAGAAGGCAGCCGTAGCATAAAGTGCGTCGCTTGCCGTGTTATTGTGGATGTTTTTTAAAAGTAAATACTCATTTTTGTATCGGCATCCCGGCGCTGGGTATTTGGTATCTCCCAGTCGGGTACACCCGACTAGATTCCGCTCAGCTGTTTGCTCTGCTTTAGGCAGCAGATAAACTGCTGTTCATTGCCTCAGGGCGATTGCCTTAGAGAGAGTTTGTTGAAAACTTGACACATTTCCTTTTTTATTTGAAGCCACAGTGATTCATAGTTAAGCATAAATCTCACACTATGTATGGTATATATATATATGTATATATATATCTTATAGGTACAAAGGCACATGAGTAATTCTTTTTGCTTAGTAACGACATTGAATTTTCGCATATTTCAATCATTTTCATTTATTACGCTCACCTCTGCGGGACGCAATTGAGTAGGGCAAACACTTGACCCGTTCCGATATCATTCTGGCGAACACAATGGCTTTGATTGTGCTTTTGCCATAAACGAGTTATATTTAATTTATAAATTTATATGGAAATGTCTGCATCGTATTTAAGGGCATATGGCCTTATCATAAATTCATATGTATTTATTGTGGCCCACGTAGCGTATGCATAATTTTCATTACATTAAAAACATGAAGTAGATCAAGCTCCCAATTTGCGAGGCAACTATAAATAAATTGGCGCGAAAGTGCAGACAAGAAACCGGCACAAAAATAACACACAAAATGTACAAGAAAATACAAATTATTGTCAGTCGCGTGTTGAAATTAAATATTTCTGTCGGGTAGTGGATAAAAATATCGAGTTCGTGCACATTAATAGTTATGTGATTTCACATGCGTGGAATTTAAAACAATTAAATGAAATTGAAACCGGTTTAGAAGTTCAAAAGAAAAGAAGGGAAAAAAATGAAATAGAATACGAGTGTTCCACAATTATGTCAAGTCAAACAGGCCCCGATATTAAAAATAACAAATATATAACAGTTTTTATTTAAATAGTCTCAAAAGCAGCGCACAAGATACTTTGAGCTGCAAGTGCCCAAGTAAAAGATACAATGCCAAAATTAATTCTCTCGGGCAGCTGGCGCGCATCTTGCGCTGATTGTGCGGGTCATCATTCAATTTAAATTGATTAAAAACATTTTGCGCCAATTTTCGTTTGCACAGATGTGTGTACAGAAAAAATGTAAACAAGCTTTTATCCATGCGCACACACACACACACAAAGGCATACAGGCATATAAACATATTGTAAGCTAAAATGCATCTTTTATCTTCGCTGGCAGCAGCAACGCATTTAATTCGCATTTAATTCAATTGGTTTGAAATTCAACTCACAGATACATACTGCAAATCATAATATCAACAGGAAGCGAACAATTGAGCATACAGCAGTATAAAATGAATAGAATTTATTTATTTTATTTATTATATTCACGCTTATCTCGAATATGGATTTATATAAACGTATATAAATACATAGGCGAATCGCTTCCTTTTTCCTGGAAAGCTGCAGCTATCTTCTGTTTCCTTCTGTTTCACTTAAATTCAATTGCTAGCTAGTTATATTGAATTGCGCCTGCTCTTCCCCTTGAAAACTATGGTAGTTTGAATGATGTAAAAACAAAAGATAAGCCTAATTTTGACCTACCATGCGGTAACTAAATGATATAGTGGTTAATTCGGTCGATTCCCACAGTCCTATTCATAGTTTCATCAAGATAGAAACTGAAAGACAAGAGTCAAGATTCGATCAAGACTATATAAACTTTATGGGGACGGAGACTTCTGCAAGGGTATTCAAATGTTTGCATTCTGCGCTCGCATCTTCTTGTCGCATGTTACACAGAAACTTTTAACAACATGTTAAAGTGGCTGTTAACTTTGTTTGAGTATTGTCGGAAAATCGTCCAGTGCTCTTGCCTAAAAGTTGGGTAATTAAATGCTTGTTATAATCAGAAGAAAACTAATGTTTGCTTTGATAAGATAAGGTTGACATTTTTTTCTTTCAGTTTTCATTTCTTAAATTGCGGTAAGCAACAAGTGGAAAAGGAACACCAAGAATTATAAGCTCGTTAGCCCTCTTAAGTTCATAGATTCTTTGACTTTAAAGACATTCTGCTAAATTGTTGAACAATAACGTGGGGTTTTCACAGCGGAACTACAGTAGAGTTAAGCTTATAGTTTGTTTAATAAGTTTCTTTTTACGATTTTCACAAACTTTTCAGTTCGTAGACTTATTAATATTCGTTCTACCTTCTTATATACTGTTATACTCTGCTCCCAAAAAAGAAAGGATCAAAATGTACATTTTATTGTTCTTTTCTCTAATTGTTGTCACGTCTTTGAGATTAGAGACTGGAAACATTAAGAATATGCGAGTGTGTAACCAGACCCGGACCAATCCCCACAATAACTGCTACAGTTTGAGATTGACTGCTTGACAGTAACTGGCATACAGTTTTAGAGTCTCAAAATTATTAGTGTTTGTAATCATTCGGAGAACAGGGTAATAATCTTAGTAGAAAGATTATTCGCAGTACTTAGGATCTTTTCCAGGTACTTGGTTTCCAGGTTTTCCATGTAATCAGTTGTGGAATTCACCGATCTTTGCAACTGTATATCTCATGCTACACATTACTTAAGACATATAAATTGTCTCGAGTGAAATGACAGGCCTCAAGTGCGCGATGCCAGTGAGATGATGCTCCACACGCACCAAGATCGGATCACTGAACTGGGCTGCCAAAATAAAAGCCATTTCCGTTAGGCCACCAGACAAAAAGAGAGCAAAGTGGAGAGTGAAGACGCAACGAGAGGAGCGTATAATTACAAATGATTGATGTGCACTAGCCGAGGTACCAAGAGGCGCGGGATGCGAGTTTCCAGAGATGCCGATGGAATCTGGCCCCTCTTATGAGACGCCGACGATGGAGGCATATCACACGCGGCGCTTGTCCAAACAACAAAAGCAGCAGAAAGGCATTAGGCGAAGGGATCAGAAGACACTTCAGCGTGGAAGAGGAGCAGCTGCTGCAGCTTTTGGTGCCATAGATTTATATACCCTGTACATATTTATAATGGCTGTGGAAGGGTATTCTGATTTTGTGGAAGTGTATATGTGAGGCAGATGAACTGATCCTATGAAACAGATATATTTAGTTGATCGGGACGATAACTTGACTCGACATGGATTTCGTTTGTCCTTCTGTCTGTCGATATAGGTTTTAAATCTATATAGTTTATTTTCGATATTTCTCATATTTTTTAACTAATTCCAGGGACTATAAGAACTGGTTACACAGATTCAGACTATTTCATATTTTAAATATGCATATATGGGAAGGTTACAATCTTTGTACAGGGTATCTCCTTCTTTGGGTCTAACGACTTGTTTCTATACATGATTTATTTTTAATGGTTCTCTCGAAACGTGTCTCTGTGTGCATGTTCGGTTTATTATTAGTTATTACAGTTTGTGCCCGGGTGCAGAGGAGTTGTCGACACAGCCGCAGGAATGCCGCATTTTGTTTGCCGGAGCGGCTTTGTTTGGGGTAAATAGAGCTAGGGATCTGGCTGAGACACCATCATGTAGTTCCACATTTATGGGCCAAGTTTTAGTGCATTTCATTGGCGCAGCAATTTTATGTGATTGTGCAAACAAAGGGGCAGAGCCAGTTAAGCCTATTTATATAGAAGTCGAAAACAACAGAAAGTTTTGCCATGTAATATGGGAAAATCTATTTATTTGTGTTATATAAATTCCTTGGAAATCCTCTAGACAACAGGCAGCTCAAGCATCAAAGAGTCACAGTTTCGCATGCCGTGGGCCATTTAAAACATTTGTCATACATTTTGTTTAAGCTCATTTACCAAGTCCAAAAGACTTTTAAGTATTTCTATAGGCAACCCAGATATGTCTTGTGTATCTTTATAGCTGCGTGTATATATATATATAGATATGCACAGGCGAGTATATTGAAAACAGCCGGCAGCCGAAAATATTTTACGAGCTGCATCTCAAAATGCATCGCTGGCAATTTATGTGTCTGCAGGCCTAGAAAATTTAGATAGAGAACGATTTCTAGCACTTAAGTTAAGAGCGTGTCAAGTAATTGCATGGCCTACTGTAAAGCTGATTAAAAAATATATAAATTACAATTTTTATTTGTTACGACTGCGATTCAAAATTTGAACAGCCATCAAAGGGTTTTAAATTGTTACTCTACATTAGTATTTTA